ATAATTTTAAGATACCATATAGAAACAGTGTAAGAAGCCTGATCATACATTAGTTTTAAAATTCAAATAAAAGCAGCATGAAGCTAATTTAAATTTTTTGGGGGGAGATATTATGAGTTTCCATTAACTGGAGGGCTCATACTATGCAAAAATAATTGAATTTTAAAATAGAAGTTATTTCTTACATAGCTCTGGTGAACAGGCTCAAGTTAAAAAAAAGACAATAAGGAATACATAGAAATATTAATAGTATGGGTATAAGATTGAGTGTTTATTTGCTTCTGCTTTCATTTTTAAAGTTGTTATTATTGAGTACTGGTGGTATAATGCATTAAGTATTGGACTGCTGACCAAAAGAGTTGTAGTTTGAATCCACCAGCCACTCTGTGAGAGAAAGTCTTCTCTGAGAAAGATTGTCATGATTCAGAAACATTATGGCAGATCACCATTGACCCCATAGTAGTGGAAGTTGTTCTGCTGAGGATTTTTTTAGCTTAAAGTTATAGTTTAAAACCCAATGATTGAATTCCTAATAAGGTCTCATAGTCTTTAAAATAGATTACAAATTTTGTTAGCTTTACCTTTATCTAATAGTTGTAAATTTGTTCTATTCATTAATAATCACTACTAGAATACAAGGGCAGTCTGGTGACCTAATGGTAAGAAGCTTCCCTGCAGTCCCAGATTGCATTGTTCAAATCCACTAGCTGCTCCTTGGGAGAAGAATAGTCTCCCATGCAATTTGCTGCTTCATGAAAACCCACTGGAAAATCAGTTATGAATTAGTTCCAACTCTGTGACACGCAGCAACCCAGTAGGATGAAAGGTATTTCTGGTGGCCTTGTGGTAAGAAGTTGCACCGTTAACCCTAAGGCAAATAGTTTTAATCTACCAGCTCCTCCTCAGGAGAAGGATGGGCAGTCTCCTGTGTGATTTCAAGTCTGAAAAGTCACTGGAGGGTCAGTTCTTACTTGATGATGCCCACCAACAGCAACAGAATGCAGCTAAATTCAAAAGCAAGTTCATTTAGTACATTATATATTGACATAGTTAGAACTGATGACTTAGTACATAGCCAATCAGGCTGTTAACCAAAGTTTGGTAGTTTGAATCCACTAGCCACATTCCACAGAAGAAAGACAAACAGTCTTCCCAGAAAGATTTATAGCCTCAGAAACCAGTGGTGTCAGAATCCATCAACAGTAGATTTAAAAAAAACAAAACAAAACAAAAAAACCCCAAACATGGTGAGTACTAGTTTTCATTGTACAGTTGGTGAAGAATCTTTACGTTGTACAATTGATTATGCCCTTTATCACAGCCTAAAGGTTTTCCAGTCTAAACTCACCCAGAGCTCCCTGAGAAGATAGGCATGACTGCTTCTGAAGACTCTAGAGCCATATGAATGAAGTAGTTGTATTCTGCACACATAAGATCACCATGAATTGAAATTGAAAGATGAGGATAAATTTGGATTATCACAAAATAACGATTTTCAATGTTGGGTAAACATTATTTTAGTTAACTAGAGTTAAGCCAAAATTTGGCTTAATATATAATTTCAGAAATAAAACTTCAGTGCTTTTGAATTGATTAGGGCTCTTGAGCAACCCTCTGCTAGCTTTAGGAGCTAAACGTCTGGTGGTGTAGTCTGTAGGGAGTTGCTTGATAATTCTAATATTGTACCTCTCAGGTGGTTCATCCACTATCATCTCCTTAGGATCAAGATGAACAACATCGAAAAACCAGTGGAGAGTCATCTATGAGTTGATTCTGACTCTACAGCAATGAATGAGAGTGTGAGTGAAATCACATGGGAGGAGGTTTGCCCATCTTTCTCCCCAAGAGACACACAGTCTTTGAGTTGGCAGCCGAACTCACTACAGACTACTTACTTCACCAGAGCTCCTGCGTATATGTGTCAAGTAAGGAATTGTGCTGACAGCCCAAAAGTGGCACTATTCTGACAGTGCGAATCCACCAACAGCTCCTCTAGAGAAAAATGGGCAGTCTCCTCCCTTGTGGTTTACAGCCGCTAAAACCTTACTGGAGAGTCACCTGGGTGGGTTGTGACTGGTAATGAGTTGTGGTTGTTGTATCTGTGTCAGGGACTATATTAATGAAAAATAACTTCATTTTACCTTTGATGAATCTCTGTTGCTTCCAGTTGCCCTCACTCTGCTACCACTCCTTAAATAGGCAGGCCCAGAATCTTCACATCGCTCTACACTTATTCAGAGTTTCATATTAAAGCACCGCACTTGAACCTAGCTGTCTAAATAAACCTAAGAACACACGCAGATTAACAAAAAGGGCAACCTAGGTAGAACTATCAAGTATGGAAACAAAAAGGAGGAGGAACAGTTGTAAGCAGACCCTAGTGATTGGTACATGGA